ATGTAGCTTGCCTTCTCGCCTTTCCATTGATATAGATTTACTTCTTCTCGAACATTTGTGGAAAAAATAACTCAAGTTAAAGCATCGTCGAAATAAAATCATCAAACAGAAAGTGACACCTACTCACTGTTATATGTTCAGTTCCATGATAACTCAATATTTAGAGGTGAAATTTTCTGTGAATGTAGTACAGGTGATGCGTGAAATCTTCGCGAAAGCTGTGCCTGAAAAGTTAAGTTAATAAGATAGTTATACTTAAAACAAAATCGTCCAAAAAATGTTGTTCAGTGCTATATATACAGAGTGTCCCAAAAGTCCCCGAGGAAAGTTTTCGTAAATATCTCTTATACAACTCAAGCAATTTATATTTCTTCTTCATAATATTGTAGTATATTCTCTTCAGTTTTGCTCTATGTACTTTCAGATAAATGTATGTACCTATAAAAATTAGAATAAAAATAGTTTTGTTTATGGTCAAATTTGATTCAGCTCTAGTTGTCAAACGAAAATTGTGGGCCGAGTTTGGCAAAAACACACCAGGTGAAACTTGCATTAGGGATACATTTCAACGCTTTTGTGAAACTGCTACAGTTGAAGATCGTGAACATTCTGGAAGACCGTCACAAATTACAGAAGAAAAGATTGATGAAGTTGGTGCTGTTTTTGAAAATCAACCACAATCGAGTGTTCGGCCTGTTGCAAGAATCTGTTCCACTTCCCGAACAATGGCACATCGAATTATGACTGAACATCTTTCATTGAAGCCCTACAAGGCGCAATTTTTACAACAACTTTATGAAGAAGATATGCAAGACAGAGTTGAGATGTGTAAAACTCTGACACCGATGTTAGAAGATAATCATATTCAACAAAATTTATTTTTTTCGGACGTAGTAACCTTTTATTTGAATGGATTAGTCAATAAACATAATGTCAGATATTGGTGTGAAACTAATCACATGTTACCATTGAAACTGTTATGCAATCTCCTAAAGTCAACGTTTAGTGTGCTATGTCAAAAAATCAATTAGTGCGGCCATATTTCTTCGAAGATGATACTGTTAATGGAGAAAATGATTTACTAATGCTTCAAACATTCTTTATTCCAGAAGTTAAAAAATTACACAAGTTTCGTTCTATTATATTTCAGCAGGATGGAGCTCCTCCCCATTTCTCCATCGATGTACGACGGTTTCTGGATAATCATTTTCCTGACAGGTGGATTGGAAGAGGTAGTTCAATTCGATGGGGTCCACGTTCACCAGATTTAACACCTCTCGACTTTTTCCTCTGGGTTCACGTAAAGAAAAATGTCTACAAAACTCCTATCAAACATATGGCTGAATTAAAAATGAGAATCGATAAAGAAATTAAATCAATCTCAAAAGAAACTTTGTGTAATGTTTTTTCAGATATTGCAAAACGGATGGATTTATGTATTTCAGTTGATGGTAATCATTTTGACATTTGTTGTAAACCAAATTATATGAAATAAAAATTAAAACAATATGCTATTATGTTGTAAAAAAATCAATTAAATTGCTTGAATTGGATAAGAGATATTTACGAAAACTTTTCTCGGGGACTTTTGGAACAATATGCTACCTAGATCAAGGGTTAAACTTAAGGACAAAAAGAATACAAAGTGATCGAGTTTATAAAAAATCATATAGATCTAATAAGAAGAAAGAGAAAAAGAAAAATAAAGAAAAGTGACAAATTAGGAGGTGAATTTCATATTTATCTTCTGTTACTTTTGCTATAATTCGTATCTATACTGATTAGACATCGGCGTGACCAACATTTTTTGGTCACGGTCACGTCACGATCACGATCAGTTTGGTCACGGTTACGGTCACGATCACAACCGTTGCCATAGTGACCGTGACCGTGAGTCACGGTATCTACGCCAGTCTCTATACGAACGATTATTTTCTTTTTTCTCAAATAGCATACGATTCTCTTCCGATATGAGGTCCCTATATTAGAAGGCTTTCCATAATAGAAGACCCCCTTGGAGAAATACGTGCGACACTTAGTATAAGATCTTATTCAATTATCGAATTTTTCGAAAAATGACAACTGCAACCACCGGATTTACATCATAATATGCTTAGTTTTTAGAGTTTTCAGCTGAAAAATTTAACTAAGTGTTTTCAACATTTTATCTAGACTTTTGAAATCCGAAAAATTCCTTCTCAAAGCATCAAAATTGCTTTGGCTTTCTGAACAATTCTTTTAGTTGCAATCTGCAAAAGAAAAGAGACATTACCCAAGACCCTCTGGAAAAGTTTTAGGATTAGACACAATAGAAAACCTCGGATCTCCTCGTGTGGAGAGGCAAAAAGTAATATAACAGATAAACGAAAAAGATTAGGTATGAAAAAAATCGATGAATTTGTTTTTTGAGAAAATTTCTTAAAGTTCTCGAAAGTGTATTTGACCAAAACCTGAATAGAAATTGGCGAAATCAGAACAAGTAGAGAAATGATCAATCGTCGAATAAGTCATCAGATAAAAGTCAAAAAAGTCGAAAATATATGAAAATGACAAATCTTCTTCAAGGTGGTCATAATATTTTTTAATAGTACACTTTTTTCTAAAATATTTTTATGCGAACAGTTTAAAATATATTAATACTGAGTATATTTTTTCTGGTATCGCGATCGTATTGATTCTATTCCGTCGTTTTAAGTTAGCATAATTAGAAAAGGATATTGCTACATATTGAAAGAA